AGCTTCAACGCCTAATGTAGAATTAAGTTCATCGAAGCACTCTTATCTTGATACTCGTAGTATACTTTGAAAGCCGTAAGAAATCATCGGAAGACAATTTTCGCGCATTAATTACATTTTTTCGAGAAAACTCAATTTATAAATCACTGTAAATAACATAAATAATGCTCTTTTGACAAAAAGTCTAAAGTAAGTTGTATTTAATAATGTCAAACTTTCGTATGTAAACGTCAGATGACAACAATTAGTGTTGCCAAGGCTCAAAATATAAATAGGGACCTCCGTACTATAATTTAAAGTTATCATTAATTCTGTAGTTAGGGTGCAGTTATATAAAGCCCTATTTTTTCAGCTTAAAATTGAAGACATCCTTTAGGAAGAACAAAAAAATGTCTCATAAGTCATGGTGTACCAATATATCTTCTATGAGTAATAATATGATAGTAACGAAGAAGTAAAATTACTTTTGGTTTTCTTTATTTTTTTAAAACTGAAATATCTCAATCATCTGTTGAGCATAATATTTATTCATTATTTTCCTTTTTTTTATACTTTCATCAAAAACTAAGTTTGAATCGCAATGTTAAAACAGATTTTAGATACTTAAGTACAGGGTGTCTTAATTGAACTGCAGTCAAAACAAAATTTTAATGCGGTAATCAAAAATAAAACGGTGTCTTTAGAGAGAGTTGCCTGAAAGGTGAAATTACTTAACACAGAAGACATGTGAAGTAAGATATTATAGTGCAGGATGGTTTGGGCAGCCGTGTTGATCGATATTTGAAGATCGTTTTCGGTTTATGTTTTTATAGTGTTGCGTTAAGATTAATAGAATGTTTTACCGTTTTAAAATATTTCAGTAACAAAAAGTGAATGTTGCAATAAAATTCTGCTACGTCTCACAAACACGCTTTAAATTTCTAGGACATCGCTTCAATAATGACTGGGAGATATCATCCGTATTTCATGACTTATTTGTCGATTTACTTAATGTCATAATTCGTGCTTGAGAAGGTCATTTTAAAATGAAATGAAATTTAATTGCATTGCATCCTAATTCTTTTGGTTTGGAAATATTCAATTTCAGATAAAAAACACGGTGTTTTCAAAAGTTACAGTTCTAGTGGGTCACCCTATATTTAACCTTAATGATGAAATGAACTTCAAGTTAAATTAGATTCAGTGCACAATTCTAATACTCCACAAAAACAGAAATTTATATAAAATTATATATTAACACGTAATATATATATAATACATAAATGCAATTAAATATATATGTTAATAAACTACTCATCATTGGCTGAAGGGTGTTAAAAGTTATTTAACTGAAGCTTGGAAGTTTTGTTTATAAATACTTAATGCATTTGAAAAAAGTAAATATGGTGAGAGTTCTAGAACATTTTTAATTAGTTGGCAACAGATTCAGTGTATAGTCTAGTGTTGCTAAGTAAATAAATAATTTCGTAGAATATTTCTTGTTACTAACCCAATAAAATGATAATATATACATGAACTCACATTGTGATGAATCAACATTAAAAAATAAATTTACTCAACAACCTTCAAAAGATTTCCATTAGAAAATATCAAAGTCCTGTTTTTACGGTTTTACATGTGTTAAACAGACCAAATGGTCACAAAACCACAGATTATTATACTTACTAATGTTTATATAAAATGCCTAATCTCAAAAAAAAATATTTCCGTAGCCTAAATTATTTGCTTCTGTTTCAAAACTACGATGAAGTATATGAGCACATTAACGACTCATTTTCCGGTTCTCCAAAGTAAAGATCTCGAAGAATATTTGTTAAATCTGTTTTGACTTTCATAGAATTGGGAAATAACCGCCTTTGTTTAAGAAGTATTGAGTAATTTGAAGTTAGGTATTTTAACACGTATTTACTCAAAATGATTAATATCAGAAATAAATTGATTATTAGTACCAGATAAGATTAATAAATTACTTATTAATATAGATAGAGATATTTAATTTATTTTACGCATAATTTAAATAGATTTTTATTGTTTTATAAAAATGTATATCTTCTCGAAAATTCGTAAGTCTTTACAGATTTCACATATTATGAAATTATAAAAAATGAGGACTTCTACAAGATCAGTGGCCTGTTTTCTATAGGGTCATATGTGGCACAGATCAAAAGCGTCTCAGCTAAATAAGGAAATGAAATTGCTGATAATATTATTTTTTATATGTTTAATTTTTGTAAATTAATTTTTTAAATTATGATTACGAATTTTTACTTTCATTGCTAATTTTTACAAAAATGTGAGATCTAATTTTTTTATTACGTTACAAGATACAAGAATATTGCTACGCTAAAGGCAACCAATTGTATTGGAGAGTCTTAATTTTCTTAGTCAAAAAAAAAAAAAATAATGAAAATTTATTTCACTTGCAATTCAACAAATTATATATAGACTATAAACTAATTAAAAATAAAAATTCGAATATTTCCTAAGATCCACTGATGATGGGTACTTGGTAATACTCGAAACAGCATTGTATGGTCAGCCAAATTTCAATATATTAATTAAATTTTTGTTGTTGTTTTTCATTACTGTTCGAACCCATCTTATAACTAATTTTTTAATCGCAAAATATTCTACAGAACATGAACATGAAAAAGACATTATTAATCATTATTAATTCTGAAAACAGTAATCATTTCCCTAACATTTGAATTTCACAAAGTTAACTATACATAATAATCAATAAGTGATTAAATAAAAGTACATATAATTATTATTAATTTCTCTATGCGCTTTGGGGTCCTGCTTGCCACAATCTGACCCTATGTAGGAAATATACTATATTATTTACATGTTTATATATGAGTAAGTTTTTACTTATAGAACTGGTATTTTGATGACAGTAATATAAGTTATTATCTTTAAGCAAGAAACTTTTTCTACAAATAATCACTTATCCATAAATATGGTCATTAAAATTTTTAAATGGGCGAGATTCAAATGTATCTCAATAATTTTTGTTAAACATAAAAGATTAATAATTTAATTCGTTTATTGATATCACAGAAAATGATTAAAAATCAAGTGATCTGCGGATTGAATATACAATTAACACATTAACTAATAGAAACTGATAGATCATTTGGAACGCCTAGGATAAGCTCGACATATGGTTTCCCTATGTTATAATGGAAAGAAATTTGTGCTACGAATTGCGATTTGCTTTTCAAACGTCAAAAAATTGATCCATTTTTGAAATGCAGCATCACTGTGGATGATGTCAAGTAATAGAGAGAAATCATGTTATATGAAGAAACCAGGTTAACATGATTTTTGGGTTTTTAAAGAAACCGTTTCTCGACTTTCTACTGGAAAATACCACAATCAATTCTGTCTTCAGTTAAGCTAGAATGATTTATCGATTAATGAATCGATTAATAGAAAAAGTACAGTGTTCCAACGAGATAATGTGAGACCCTATCAAATTTGGCAGCTCCCAAATTTTTTTACAATTTGGTTGGGATATACGCCATACGCCATACATACCAAGTTTTTCAGATCTGGCAACTTCTGACTACTCTTTATTTTGGTTAACAATTACATTTTTTAGACAGTAAAATCTTTGATAATTGGGATAAATACAAATAAATACAAAAAATTAATTAATTCTACAGCTGGTTTATTATTTCGTTGTAATATAAACACTGCAAGTAAATTTGTTAATAAAACTTTCACAGGATATTAACAAAATTCCAGAAAAATGTCCGAACATAAACGTCAAGTACGGCTTTGGGTCAGTTGGTTAAGGAACGCTGACTTTGAACTTCATATTTGGCAGGGCAGGAGTTCGCTTTCTGGTACTTGCACTCTCGAAAAATTATTTACGAATAATTAAATACAAGAATTATTTTCAAGACCACTGATGATAGGTATTTGGCAATACTCGAAGTATAACTGTATGATCAACCAAAAATTCAATTAATTAAAATAATATAAAAAAGAATTGTTGTCGTTGTAGTTCACTACTTTTCGAAAACTTCTTTATTATTTATTATCTTAATAGAAATATTTTATAATAGTATTTATTAAATTCTTTTAAGTTTTTTTTTTGATTTGATTAATCCTAAATTTAAAATTTCACAAATGACGATATTCCATTTGATAAATTATAGTATACAAAAATTTCTAATACTTATGCGTACTATACAGAAAACCTGTGGGTGCATATGTACCAGTGACCTACATTCATATATTTCTTAGTCCTATACATATACCCTATAAGATCATAATCACGTATAATTTTAATAATTCCATTATGTCGCACTTGTAAGTTTTGTAACCTGTTATGAAATAGAAAAGCTTTGTCTTTTGTTGAATTCCTACTCCTTGACAAATGCTTAAATATTTAACAATTTCTTGCAATGCATAAATGTCTAAAATAATTTATGGCTTTGAATATATAAAACACTCAGAGATAAGAGCTGATAAAAATTCACGTTTTGTCATGTTAGACATTGTGGAGCTTGCAGCTGTATTTAGTCGCTAATGAGGTCATTTTGTGATTCATTTTGACTTGACTGCTTTTTGTCAGAAACGTTTTTTACTACACAATTTATTATAATTATTAATGAAAAAGAACCAAAAATATGAAAAAAAAATTATTATATAAAATTTACTTAAACAAAGACTCTATTATAAACATTTACACTTATACACTTATTTATACAGATATATTGCTATATATATCTCTCAATGTAGAGTAAATATGTTTTATCAAGAAATTGAATTTCTTAAATTAGCAACTTTTAGTGCCTTAAACAGAATTCTTAACACAGCATTGTATTAATTTATTAGAGGGTAAATAAAAAAAATAGTGATAGACCTTGAAGCTAGAGTATGATAAATTTCAAGTGGTATGTTGTCTTGCAGTTGATTCATCTGCACACCCTGAGATCATACATTTAATATTAAAAGTTTTGACTGTTAGAATTATATATGTACTCATATAGTTACTATTCTGATATGTGAAGTTTTCTCATCTACCTATTTTAGATACTTTTTTACTTAATACTTCTCTAAAATAAATATATGATTAAAAAAAAATAGTAGAATTCAATATACAGAGAAAAGTTTTCAAATTTTTATGATTTTTTATATTGGAACTATGTACCCCTGCTTTGAATTAAGGTTTTAAAATATTTATTTATTTAAATATTTATTTTATTAATTAATTAAACTTTTGGCTAATCATACAGCTGTTTCGAGTATTGCTAAATACCCATCATAAGTGGTCTTTGAATTATTTCTGTTATTTATGGTAATTATGCGTAAATAATTTTTTGAGACTGCAAGTACCAAGGGTTGAACTCATGCCCTGCCAAATTTAAAGCTTAGAGTCAGTGTTTATTAGCCAACTGACCCAAAGCCGTATTTGACTTGTATGTTGTACGAACAATTAAATATAAGAAATAATTTCAAGAGCACTGATGATGTGTATTTGGTAATACTCAAAAGAGCTGTGTATGGTCAGACACAAATTCAATTAAAAAATAAAATAAAATAAAATTTTATTGTTGTAATTTAATACTATTCGAAATACATCTCTATTGAAAACGATAGTTTACATTAAGAGTTTAGTTTCTTTTGTTAAAACGGACACTAAAATTTAATTTAACCTTTAATTTAATGAAATTCAGAGGGCAACTGTACCTAATATCCAACTTTGGAAAATACGACTAAGGAGTTCGTTTAAAATGAAATTTATGAAATTCGTTTCTAAATTATTCGGTGAAACAAAATTTTGTTCCATTGTAAATGAGTAAGTTTCTCGATAATCGATGAGATATACACTTAGTATGCTCCAGTTAGTTTGCAATCAATCAGTGAAAGTTTACCGTAAGTAACATATTCTTACTATTCCAAAAAACAGTAGTAATGACTGGCTACGTCTCATGATAGTCTTCGCTTTTACCTTCTTCAAAATTATTTAAGCTTTTTCAATCCACTCTTTTAGATTATAATTTAGTGTCTTGAGTGTAGTGATCATTTCATTTTCAAGCAATTATGAAATTATTGCAATTAAGGATGTATGTAAAAAGTCTATAGTCTTCGAAATGTTTAAGCAATTGTTCGTTAAATCTTAAATCAGTGGAATCTAACACGCTCACAGCCTTAGCAAGCTCTCTAAATTTCTATCAACGATAATCCAACACTCCTTGATATTTGTCAATGCTTTTGTAGGTGGCGGTAGTTTCTGACTGTACTATGTTTAAATTCAGCTATCCAAAATGTTATGACTTTTTTAAAACAAAACTCGAATTTAAACACGATACATAATTCTCTCTATTTTAACAAGTACTTAAAATTAGTAAATAAGGTATAT